CAATAGGCTGGGTGAGATTAGAATAAACAGCCTAAACAAGTAAACAGGAAGGCCAAAAATAAATATATATATATATATATATATATATATATATATATATGTCTATATAAATAACATCAAAGAAAGGTAAATAGGGCCTACAGTATTCGAATAAAGACATAATAATACATCCTGTAGCATAGGAGCTCTCAACGAATGTAGTCCAATAAATAAAGAAATTGTGTAATAAAATGCCTCCGAGGAGATTCTCTCTTGTTTCTTGTTTTGTGCTTTGTGTAACTTTTATGTCTTTTTTTTTTACTGTTATTGCTGTCTCCGTTTTGATATTTTTCTAACTTTTAAGGCAATTTTTAAATTTTTTATGTGAAATAAGTAACGTGTGAATATGATAAGTGGTGTAAAAGTAATTGTTTGTAAAGTAATATATTCTTGATATGGAATCGATTGTCATAAAACCAGTACTTGGTATGATTTTCATACTCAGTAATTAATACTCGTCATGTGATCAATCACAATGTATATTCAATTATTAATTTTGTAATCTATATAATTTGTTTGTGATCGATAACTCATTTGGTGTATTGTCGATAATACGTGAGTTTAGGCAGTGGTTTGTAATTGATTTATAATATGTAAGGCCTACAAAGAAATTCTACATTTGGTTAGTCAGACACGACATCGTAATGTTCAAAAAACGATTATTAAGTAAGCTAGAAGTGATTGCATTCCTTAGTTAATTTACACATATTCTGGTAAATGGTCTTCGTTTGTGATCGCAGATTATTGATAGCTTGTCAGTTGTCACTTACAACTTTTGAAGACTTGTCAAACCACTGAAGGCACCCTTTTTCAGACTTGTTATTTTGTTATCATTCAAATACCTCGAAAACGAAAAAGAACAGACAATATAATTAGTAAGCGAAAATAAACTATTTAGAACACGTTCCATAATGCACCAGTTACTAAACTCATTCGAATATCTGTGAAGTACAAGACCGAATAAAACAAATGTATCGAAAACGGTATTTGTTATTACTATTGAGAAAATTATATATCATCATCATTATTTCTGTTGTTGATGGTAGTATTTATTAGTAGTATAGGCCTATACCTGATTGTGATAACATTGTAGTAGGTGATAACGGTAGTACCAAGTAATTGTAAATATGCACAAAAAAAAGTATCAAGATCGTAGGTCCTTAACTCGTTACTTTCCAAGTCCCTATAAAGAATTTAATCAGTAAAAACTATTAACAGTGTTAAACAGAAATCGCCATTGTTTTATACACAATCTGGGTATTGGTAATTGTTTGTAACCGATAATTAACCTAAAAAATAGTCCTAATACTTATACATGCTACACATTCATTTACTGATACAGGCCTGGGCCTACACATTCATTTTAATGAATATTATTTTTATGTGAAATGAAATGTTAAAATATTTATTTGTAGAGCAATAGATCATGGATATGTAGTCTACATACTTTTGGGAACACTCATGCTTTGAAAACGTACTATTTCAAAGTTTAAAAGGGCCATTTCCGGGCATCTGAAATGTTTATTTTAAAAACTTGCTTACTTTAGCCCCAGATATGTTGGGGCTGAGGTAGTGGTAGTGGTTGTGGTTGTGGTAGAGTTGCCACTGCACATCTCTCTCATTTAAAAAAAAGCAAAAGGCCTATCACGGTTTATGTTAAAGTATCATCAATCTTAGGACAATCACAGGCAATAATAGGCATGTTATATAGACTTGAGGCCTAAAACGGAATGGGTGGGCTGCCATTAAAAAAAAATGTTGGCCCGCCACTGGTCAATAGATAAATAAGGGTAGGCCTAATAGATAATAGATAAATGAGTGTAATTTTAAGTATTGTTTGATATCTTAATCGTTAATTATTATTTATAGATACAGTAGAACCCCTATTGAGGGGACACCCCTATTGGGACCAAAACAAGTGTCCCAATAGGGATTATCGTATAATGGCGTATTAGCAGCGTTAAGGGGAATAGGTACAGTATATTAAAATGGAGTGATGTCAATACGCGGTGATATTGATACTGCGTGTCTAGTGTAGCTGCGGTGATAATTTAAATCGATGAGCGGCAGCTTTTTTATCGGCTACGCCACGTGTTGATCGGCGATGCTGCGGTGCGCTGTGCATAAAGACCCTGTCACATAGTAGCGAATAGACCCAACGTATGCCGAGCGTTCTCATTTTTTTTCTAAGCCCTGTCACATAGTAGCGAATAGACCTAAGTATGCCGAGCGTTCTCATTTTTTTTCTAAGCCCTGTCGCATAGTAGCGAATAGACCTAACGTATGCCGTGCGTTCTCATTTTTTTTTTTTCTAAGTCCCGATACGCTCAAATATGCTAATTTTTTTTGGGCAAAAAAATAACATTTTTGCGTGAAAGACGAACGCCCAACGAATGAGAAACGAATGCTCATCGTACAACTAGCGTCCATTTAACGAATGACAGCGCGTTCGCAGCATTCGTCCAACGAATGTTCAGCGTACACAACGAATGCCCAGCGAATGTCACACGTATGCCTAACGTATTGACGCCTTGTAAACGTTGATGAGGTCGGTATACGCTGAGTGTTCGCTGGCCATTCGTTACTCAATAGTTAGACAAACGCTATGAATACGTTATGCATTTGCTATGGCAACGTTTCAGATGGGATTGAACGTGTTTGGACGAGCAACGGACGAACAGAAAACGTTAACCCAACGTGCGAAACGTTCAAACAACGAATGCTCACCGTATACATAGCGTATGTAGCAGAACGTTGTCATACGTTCAAAATTTTGAACATGTCCAAAAATTAAAATCGACCCCAGCGTACCTCAGCGTACCCTAACGAACAGCTAACGAATACAACGTATGCCAAACGTGTCACAAACGAATGTCAACTTACGCGAACGTAAACCAATATTTTGATAAACGTCGGCATACGTCCAAATTACTACCAAACAAAGACGAATTATTTTATACTCGGTTCAAACATTCTTTTTGCAATTTCAGATAAAATATTATTATTATTATTATTATTATTATTATTATTATTATTATTATTATTATTATTGTTATTATTATTATTATGTAGTTAAACAGAAGCTCGCCCTTGACAAACAGCATTAGAAAGGTAGTAAAGGTTCCTCAATAAGTTGCTATAAATGTGTCAATATTTAAAGTTTATTGATTTTTCTTATTTTTCGACTGTTGTATTTGTTGCAATACAATAAAAAAAAATGGGTGTACCCTTAATAGGGGTTATTTGACCATTTGGCACACTCAGAATGTGTCCCCTTAATAGGGTTTGGCCCCATTCAAAGATATATCGCCCCTCGTTTCACGGAAAAGTGTCCCCATAATAGAGGTGTCCCCTGAATAGGGGTCCCGAAGGAGGGATTGGACTGTAATCTTAATTATGTAAAATTTTAATCTTGTAAATATAATATTAATAAAATGTCTAACTATAATGTATAAAAAGTAGTAATTAATTAATTTCTGTATATATAATTATGAAGTACGGTATTTTATAATGAATAAGTCATTATTGTGCTATTGTTATTAAGACGTGCATATTAAGATGTACAATAATTATATAATTTAATACTGTAAAAATAAATTTCATTATTTGTGCAATAATTATATTAATGAGAATTACTAAGAATTCATATTTGTACATAATCAATTTTAAGGAATAAATCATTTTTATTTTTATTGTTATCGTGCAATTTAAGTAACTATTTACTTCTATATTAATAGTGTTTATGGATGTTGTACTTTTTCCTTTGTTGTTTAAATTTGTAAATGTATTGTATGCCAGTTCAAATTACATTTCTGTTATATATGAATGGACAATAAAGAATTATCGATATATTAATATGGTCTCAATAAAATGGAACTGGCCACCAGCTTAAAAAGGTTGAATACCAGGATTTTATGTAATTGATATTGTTTGTAACAGATAATTGAGCTGTATTCAGTATGTAACCGACACTTACTCATTATACATACATAATGTAATACATTCATGTATTTACCGATACATATAAATTAATTTTAATTAATATTTTATATTAAATAGCTATTGTGTGGAAACGATAAGTGGTGTGAAATTTATTTTTTGTAAGGTAATAGATTATTGATATGGATTCAATTTTCATAAAACATGTATTGGTATGATTCTCATTCTCAGTAATTAATATTCATCATGTGATTAATCACAATTATTGGTTTTATAATCGATATAATGTGTTTGTGATCGTTAACTCATTTGGTGTATTGTTGATAGTACGTAAGCTTAAGCCGGATGGCTTGTAATCGATTTATAATATGTAGGGCTAACAAATAATTTTTACTTTTACATTCGGATAGGCAGACACCACATCTTAATCTTCAAGAACAGATTATTAGGGAATCTAAAGGGATTTACATGTATCCCTTAGTAAACTGTGTATGTATACATATTTTGTTTGGTGTTCTTCGTTTTTGATCGCAGATTATTAATACAGTAACTTGTGAATTGTCACCTACAACCTTCGAAGATTTGTCAAACCACTGAAGACACCTTTTTTTCAGATCAGTTATATTGTTATTTTGCAAAATATACCTTGAAAACAAAAATGAATAGACAATACAATTAATTGTTGTGGTTGGGCCGCCATTACTCTCCCGGTTTTTTGTTTTTGTTTTTGTTTTTTTTTTTAAATTACCGTACTGTATACAGAAAATAACGAAACGGAACCATTACATGTCTTTCATGCTTCATTCATTATGCCTATAACGAGATGTTTAGAGAAATGC